TAGCTCCCCATAGCTCAAAGCCAGTGGTGTCCTTGGCTACTAGGGCCAGGAGGCCCCACCAGATGACAGCCCCCCCCTCCCCGCCTCACCCCCACTAGGTCTGTTCGTCGCCCCGAGTGGTGACTCAGAAGCAGACACGCTGTGAAGAGCTGGGGGTAGCCCTAGAGCAGGAAGAACGTGGGCTCGTGTGGCAAAGAAGTTGTGGTGACAGCCACCGCTGTCAGCCGATGGTGGCGCTGCTGCCACTGATGGCAAAAGGAGGCCTGTGAAAAGGAAAAGTCTTTGGTTAGAACAGCTTTGCTCTTTGGTCCGGGGGGTGGCATAGCTTTTTGTCCACCTGGAATTCAGGGTACCATGGGCCTGTGAAGGACAGTAGGAGGGAGGCCACCAACCAGCGGTCCCAGGTCAGCCAAGCGCGGCACAGAGACAGGTCGACACTCTGGTTTCATGGTCCTTCAGGCCTCAGGCCTCAGGGGTGTGGGTCTTTTGATCTGTCCCTCAGTTTCCACCCTCGGTTCCCAGGCCATGCGACGGGCCAGTGTGCTCTCCCCTTTGACTTCGGTTTCCTTATTTTCCTTCCCCGAAACTCCCATCTCCAAAGCTTCCCTAACTCAGTGGGTTTTCAGCTGGCACTTTTCTGTGTTTGCAGAACCCATTTTCCCCTGTGGCATTAGCTGTTGCTCTAGGTCCGTGTCCTCACTCCGAGTGTGTGGATTTGTGCAGACTTAATTCGGTTTCTCCTGTTTCCCCCCCCTGCTGTGAGCTTGGGGTTCTAAATTCTGTTTTACCTTTTGGAAAACTCTCTCTTTTCTCATCTGCCCAGTTCCCATCCCTTTCTCCATCTTTAAAAAGGAGAGAATTTGGATACATCTAAGTCTAACTAGACAACTTGAAAGTCTAAGAACCAGAGAATTGCTAAGAGGAGAGACGATTTAGTATTAAGTGGTGTCCTGCCTTTCCTTGGCATTCTCCATGAACTGGTGGCTCTCAAGTGGGACAGAGATCTAGGGCTGCTGGTGATAGGGGAGGGGCACGTAATAGAAAAGAGATTTTTTTTTATAGTCCCTGGGAAACCGGAGGACGTGTAGCAAGAAGAACAACAGGGCTCTAAGGCTAAGGCTACTGCAAAGCCTGGATGGGTCCATTACTCAGAAAAGAAGATACATTCTGAGTGCAGATCAAGGATAAGACCTGTCTGAAGGGGGACAGCGTTCCCGGGCTAATCCTTGCAAGACAATGATAGAAAGCAGAGCTTGGCAACTCACGAGTTTTAGATGTTTTCCCACCCTCTGGTCATATTTAAGGGCTGACTTGAGATGAAATGTCAGAGCAGTCCTTTCAAGGGGTTACACCTGCTGCTCTCTCAGGTTGCCAGCCATCTGGATAATAAAATGCACCGTAAAGATCCAACCTCGTCTCTACTAAGCTGAGCAGCAGGACCTTTTTGGGTCTGGTTTCACTGAGATGTTGGCACTGAGGCAGAGTGGTTGTGAGACACCACAAGCACTGTATCAGGGTGGCCAATGTATTTTTCTTTTCCCTTGATACTGCAAATTAGTTTGATTTGCTTACCTCCCTTGAGAAATTAAGGGACTTGATTAGCATGTGTCCTAGTGCTCTGGGCTGGGCACTAATGAAGAAGGTGTGGGTTCTTGGTCAATTCCCTGGGTAGCAGGCAATGCCAGAGGGGCACATGTAGCACCCTGAACAGGGAATGGGAGCTCACCCCGAGTTGGCTTGTATCGTACACCTCAAAGAACTGGGAAGTAGCATAACATATGCTGACTTCTTTCTCTGACACAACTTTAGAGCCATGGTCTCCAAAGAGGACACATTAGACGAACTGCTGGGGAGAAAATATTAGAATTTATATATATATTTTATCTTGTCTCTTTGAGATTTCTCTTTTTGCATATGTTTTACATTAGTAAATTGTACATGCATATATTACATAAGTAGCAACTATACATCTCTAGAAACACATATGGATAATAATTTTTTAATGATGAAGTATGTGATCAAAAGTTTTGGAGGCCACTGCCCTGGAGAATCTTTGATGTTCTGGGTCTGAGAGGCTGGCCCAGAGCAGTCCAGTCAAGGAGAAAGGTCCAGCCTGTGTGGACAGACTTGGGTGGCAAGGTGGAACCTAACTGTCATTGCGACAGAGCTCTCCAGCATTTGGGATGACTGCCCCGGCTGCCAATGAGAGTCAGTGCCCCTGAGGTCACCTCAGGCCTCCTTGCTACCTGATTTCAAAGGTCATTCATGCATTCTTTACTGAGGAGACGGAATCGTAGTTTCACAGAGGGAAATGTGAAAAGATGAGAAGCCTGGGATGTTCTTCAGCATGGGGGATGCGGTGCTGTGACAAATTAGGACCTTGCAGATGGTCAGTGGGAGTGGCTCCTGCCACCATGGTTAGGAGCCTGACATTTTAGGACTTGTGTCCTTCTGATCTATGTCCTTGTTTCTGTTGTGCCTTATGTTTGTAACAAATACTTCTGGCTGCCTAATAGAACCCCATTTTTTGGGGGGTGGGAATGTGTACCATTTCTTGGCCTCTCTTAAAGAGAGGAGTGATCACAGGATGTGAGTCTTGCCCATGGGATGTGAGCTGAAGCCAGCTGGCTCTTTATCGGGGGCCAGGTTCATCAGGTGTGCTGTGTGCTTTTGCCCTTCACATTCCTGTTTTTCTTGCCTAAAACACAGCTTGATGCTGAAGGTGGAGCAGATGTCTTGCGACCGCACAGCGACAAGGAGAAGGATGGGTAGTTGGGTGGAAAGGCAGAAGGAGCCTGGCTCCCTGAGGCCCTGATCTGTCCTTCCCAGGCCCTGTGCGATGGGAGGGAAATAAATGTCTACCTGCTTCAGCCACTGACAGTGGGTTTTCCTGTTACTCCCAGGGGAGTTCAGGTGCTAGCAAACCTGAAGGTCAACTTCAGGACTCACTGACACTTTAGTTAAGGCTGTTGACTTCATGGAAGAAGCTGACAGACACCCTGAGAGTTGAAAGGTGTGAGTATCCCCTGTCTTTGGGAGCCCTTGCTTCCCCCTCTTTCCCTGGCTGTGGTAGAAACAAGCTGTTCTTTTACTTTCAGGTCCTCGGAGAAGGAGAGAGGCACTGAGCTGGGCCTTCAAGAAGAGGTAATTTAGTCAGGAATGTGGAAAGAGAGAGTCAGGGTGGTGATGCTGGAGCCAGCTCTACAGGTTTGAGAGAGCTGATGGTGCATCTCTCTTCTCATAAACATTCAGTGATGTCACTTGGTGGCTTGAAATCGACCATGGCGAGAGTATTTACATCATGGACATAGTAAGTATTACACATCAGGGCTTTTTTTCTTTTCTTTTTCTGGAGAACCAGTTGTTAAACACTTACCAACACATCCTTGGATAGATCAAAGTTTTAGTTTACTAACAACATCAGTATTGTTTCATAACTTCTCTTACTTTCCAATAAATGATGAAAGAGCAGAATCAGGGAACTGCTGATTTATACTGAACAAATTTGCAGTGGAAAGGCACTGCAAATGCCTACGTGTGTATGTGTATAAAATATTAACATAGATTATATTATACCTATTTGTAAGCAACTTGTTTTATATACTTAACAGTATGTCTTGAAGGTCCTTGCATGTGAGTACATATAAATCCACCTGACCCCTGTTTATCATGATAGAGTGATTTCATAATATTGATGTCCTATGGGTAGACATTAAAGTTTTAAATTAGGGCTAGCCCTAACCACAAATGTAATGTCTAGTGATTTTACTTTTATTTTCCTAACAGGTTAGTACAATAATTCTTGTAGTAAGAGAATATCTTTAAACAAAAATTGCTGTTTGGCATCCAATCCCCGTGTTATTAAACTCTACTGAAATTATCCAATTTGCCATCTCTTACTTGTTTGGGACCCGATTCATTAGGGTTTTGTTGAGTTGTTAATATAGCTGATGTCTTGTTTCTTATTTGGTTGCAGTCAGGTTGATACCTGGCAAGTGCTTGATAAATATTTGTTGACTGAAAGAATGACTAAATGTGTGAGTGGCAGGATTTGAACTCCAACTCCTTCTCTCCAAACTTCTGAAAAACAGTTGAGCATTCACATGTAAAGTGCTGATGCTCAATGAACTCTGAGTGCAATAAATGCACATAGGTTCTGAGGCTCAGGTTTCCAGAGACCTCTACCCCTGTGTGTTTTCCTTAGTGATTCATACCAAGGCATCCTCCTTCCTAGAGGAGCAATAAAAGTAATAAAATAGTATCTGAAATATAGAGTTTAGTGAAGACATTATGTCCATTAAATGAAGAGTAGGGTGATTTTTTTCAACTCAAAAATAATTAAAAGATTCAAAACACAAAATAAGAAATGAACATTGATAACTTTTACTTGTATAGGTTATGGTTTTAAAGGAACCATGCTGAATGAACTAAAGTTATAGCTACCGGTTATGATTTATAAAGTTTATGTGACCTCTATTATAATCAATATTATATTATGCACCAGAACATTATTATAGATGAGGGAAATTTGATACAACTACCTTGTAATTATACCTATGGTTACTATCAATTTCACAGCTACAGGTTCCCATAAAAACGAAGGAAATCTTACCCTTTGAGACAACACTGATGGACCTGGAGAGCATTATGCTATGTGAAATAAGCCAGTCAGAGAAAGACAAATACCATAGGGTTTCACTCATATGTGGAATTTAATGAACAAAGTAAACTAACAAAATAGAAACAGACCCATAGGCAGAGAACAGACTGACAGCTATCAGAGGGGAGGGGGATTGTAGGGAGGGGTAAAAAAGGTGAAGGGATTAACCAAAAAAAACCCTAAAAAACCAACACCAAACAACTAAACAAACCAACAACAAAAAAATCTCATAGGTGCTGCAGGTTCATGACATTTAGTATAATTACGTGTCCACTGTGCAAGTGTTAGAGGAACTCCTTCCAATTGTGAGATGTGAGGCATGACTTGCAACTCTCTGGAGAGACTCATTTATCTCTCTAGGTAGATGTCTCCATGGGTGGAGCTTAGATAAATATAAAGCAGAACAATCCAAAGCTCCCTTGTCATGCCCAGCCCTAAGGAAGTTTCTAGTTGTTTATAAATTTTTCCACATTATATTTTCTTAGGCTGAGAAATTCGACGATGCCCCTTCCTGGATTTCTGAGCAGGAAAGAGGGCCACAGAAATTTGCCATAATACACTTCCTCTTGGCGCAGAGCTCCCCCTTTGATGATCTCCAGGGCACAGTCTTCCTTTGGAGATGCTTCTGCTTTGAGTATCCCAGAAATCCCCTTCATGGCTGAGTCTGTTAAAGGACAAGAGAAGAGTGGGGTCACCCAAGACCAGTAGAGTCTACATGATGAAAGGCTTGCTGGCGCCAACAACTTAGCCACTAAGGGCTTACTCTGAAAGGCCCATGGCCTATGGGGAATACACAGAGAAGGCTGGGTGTGTTGGGGAAAGAGAGGCTTAATACAGGCCCTGTCTTCCTGGATGAAGATTTGGGAGGGCAGTTAGAGCTAATTAGCTGAGAGATTTGAATGGTGTCCCTCTCTTGGGTGTGTGATTGGGGGCGAGGGAGTAACATGAGTGAGCAGAACAGAGTCATACGATGGCCCAGTAGCTAAATGGTAAGTGTCAGTGGGCAAAACCAGAGCGCTGCGTGACAATGACTCACTGACCTGCAGAAGGAGGAGGAGGACCCAGGCCTTTGTTCCCAGGCCTTTGCTCCCGTTCCCTTGCCAACGCCAACCACTTTCACTTGGAAGGAAGCTCTCCTGGGATCGGCTTCCTCCTTCCCTCCTTCCCTCCCGACTTTCATGTGCTTCTCACTCAGCTTCTGTCTCTCTCTCCATCTCTTTCTCGTTCCACTGAGCACCTCGGCCTTTCTCTCTCTCTCTCTTTCTGTCACTACTGCTCAATTTACTCAATTACTCTTTAAATGAAGTTTTCTTAGCGTACTTGCCGCATGTTTTAGATAATCGTGCATTTGGCCTTACAGAGAAGTTATAAAAATTATGCAGAGTAGTCCCTTGCACCCTTTCCTCTGCTTCCTCTGATCGTAATCGCTTACAGAACCATTGCACAACCATCAAGGGCACGTATGATGTGATGGGGACAATATTACTAACCAAACTACAGGCTTTATTTTTTTCACTAATACCCTTTTTATGTTCTAGGATCTTATCCAGGATTTCACTTAGTATTACATTTTTCTTATTTTCCCTCCAATCTGTGGCAGTTCTTTAGTCTTTCCTTGTCTCTCATGGTTTTGCCCCCTGCTCCCTTATACTTGGGATGAGGTGATGCATTTTTGGAAAGGATACGGTAACAACAATGCTGTGTCTTTCTCAGTGCATCATATCAAAGGGTTCACATATTGATATGTCTTATTACTGGTGATGTTATTAAGAAAAATAAACTCGTATTTGATAAGTCTTGTATAGGAAAGTAATGGCCATTGCCAGTCCAAGAAGATACTAGGTGTTCTGCATAGACTCAGGTGATGAGTGTGGTGTCGCTCAGCGTATTTGGTGGTCAGAATGGAAAGAAAAGGGTCAAAGAGTAGCTTCACTAGTGACAGGAGTACTTCATTAAATGAGGCCTAGTGCCCTCGCTGGCTTTTAGGTCGCTACACATGAATCAGGGAGTTCAGCACCTTCTTTTCCCAGAATTATAAGGCAGACGGTCCATCTGCAGGCCATGTATGCTAATCTCTTGACCTTACCTGTGTTTATGAGACCGAGGATACAGAGGGTGACTGACACATTGATCTTGGTCATTAAGTATTCCTTCCTGAGGGAGGAGAAAAACCCATCGAGAGCAAACTTGCTTGCAGAGTAGGAAGCAAGAAGTGGACTCGCCATTTTCCCTAAACAATAAGGAAACGGGTTAATCAGGTGATCCATTTCGGCTTGCAGAGCTGACCCTGGCTTTGTCTGTAGCAGGCTTTGGAACTCCCATGTAGTTTCTCTCTACTCCCTACGGAGATGATCATGCTGTGTTGAATTTATAAAAAGAAAACAAATTTCTTCTCCATCCTTAATATATAAAGAACTCTTTTTTAAAAAATTTATTTTTGTTTAAAATATTACAGATGTCCCTTTTTCTCCCCAGTGACCCATTCCATCCTGTCCCATCCCCCCCC